TCTTTGAGGCTGGGAATCTTGCCTTCACATAACCTACCATTTATTGCATTAGAACTTGCGGTATATTGGAATACGGTGGTGAATCTAGGAACAGTAGGGGTTAATGAAGAACTGGATTTCTAGTGAAAATAAAAGCCCCAAGGCCCTACTGGGATTCGAACCCAGGATCTCCTGTTTACAAGACAGGCGCTTTAACCAACTAAGCCATAGAGCCCACAGGTGCAGGAAAGCTGGCTATTGGACCTATTCCTGCTTTTAAATAAAATATTCTTGGCATGTCATCTCTGCATTCTAGAACAGTTTGCTGTGAGAAAAGACGCAAACGCCAAAAATACGTTTGGCTTACTTAGTAAGATGCACTGCGGAACTAACACAAGCGGACAAAGTTTCGGGCAGTTTAAATATTAGTACCATTAATCCTTCAATTAGTCCAAGGATAACCACAAGTAAAAGTCAAGGCTACTCGCTTTTTCCAAATGTGATAAAGTCTCCTAAAAGCAACATTTTCAGGCACTACTCCTTATCATTTTAATGATTCGTTGTTCGCACGTCCTGGAGGGGTGGGTGTCTAACAAAGGAACTCCACAGGAGACTTGTAGATAACCGAGTTGGGGCATGTGGTGTTCTGACAGTCAGGTGCACTCAGGAGGCAGCGATTTGGAGGGCAGAGGACCGGAGCGTCAACCCCGTCCCAGTATGAGCATCGCTCTAGAGATTGCCTTCTGGGCTTATTTTTCTTTAGACTTGGTCTCAGCACTTTCTCAGAACCAGGCAGCTTCTCTTTTATAATATCTTACTTCTCTGGACTGCACTTGTCAAGACAGGGGAATCGGTTTGAATGTGTCTCTGGGTTTGGAAAGGTTAGGGATTACATTTAGGGCTAATTAAAGAAAACTTCCGAACGTACTCTGGAATCTCAATCTTGTTTCTAAAATGGATTATTTGAGCAATTAATTCTGAAGTTGCTACCAAGATTTATAATTACGGAGCTGAGGATGAAAATTAGAAATCACCTCCATTTCTTTGCCACAAAAGCAATAAGGAAAATTATTGGGTTTAGATTGGGATTCCTTTGGATGACTAGATAAATTTTAGGGAGAACTGATATCTTGACAACATTGAAACTTTTAATCCATACGCATAACACTCCATTTGTTCTTTTATTAAATTTATTCCAATAAATTTGATTTTCATGAGATTATAAATTATACTTAAATTTTTTATTTCTACTTTTTTTTTTTTTTTTTTTTT